TTTTTTTTTTTTTGTTTTGCCTGTAATATTAGATGTGCAGTTTTCTATCCTATGTTCTCAAATTCTAAGCATTTTTTATTCTTCAAGATCATTTCGAGTGGCTACAGAATATCTTCCCCATCTGGCCGTACATCATTCCTCTGACGTTTTCTCTGTTTTGAGGAAGAAAGACCATTTTCTGGGGTATTTTCCAGAGTTTTGACCATTTTTGTGCCTAAAACATTTTCCAGATTTATGAGTAATTACTGAAGAGAGATTCTTTGAAATTGATTTACTGATTTAAAGAGTAGGATCCTCTTTTAGGATCCCTAGTAACACATGTATTATTATTATTTTAATGAAAAAGTTATGTAAGTAGGAGTACATGTTCTTAGTGTTTGAACTTCCTTGTTTATCACAGCTTGACTAGCTTTGAGTATCACTTAAAAAATACTTGCTAATTTGACAGGTGAATGATGATCTCATTGGCTTAATTTTCATTTTCTTTATTAGTGAAATTCAGTATCTTTTTTGTAAGTTTAGCCATTTTTATATTTTGTAAGATCATCTGTCCTTTATCAATTTATCTTTTTGAATCTTAGTGGTTTTTACAACTTATCTTCAGTAATATAGTATTTTTCAGTTAGTGATGATTTTTTTTTTTTTTTTTTTAAGTTTATTTATTTGGAGAGAGAGAGAGCAAGCAGGGGAGGGGCAGAGAGAGGAGGAGACAGAATCCCAAGCAGGCTCTGCTCTGGCAATGCAGGCCTAATGCGGGGCTCAAACTCAAGAACTGTGGGATCATGACCTGAGCTGAAGTCGGGAGTCAGATGCTTAACTGAGCCATTCAGTCACCCAGTTAGTGATGATTTTTGAAATGAAGTTTAGAATATTCTGTTAGGTTTGTCAGTCTTTGTTTCTATGTTTCTGTTTATCTCTTCACTAAAGAAAGTCATTCCTAGGTTGTTTATTAAATGTTGGGTACATCACTGTAGATATATGGGGGGAAAGTTAGGCTGGAACTATGTGTCATTCATTACATCAAAGTTAAATCTAGATGGCTCAGAGATTTAAATGCAAGAAAGAAAACGTGAAATTTCTAGTATGTTTATGAAAAAAATTTTTACTAAGTATCATGATACCTAGAAACCATTAAAAATGGAAATTTAAGTATTCAGAAATCCAACTTCTACATAATTTAAAGAACAAAATATACTACAAACAAAGTGAAGACAAACTTCAAATTCAGGGAAAAAATACTTATAATAACTTCTTTCTTATTAAAAAAAAACCTCCTAAAAATCAGTAACGTAATGAAAACTAATAGTCCAAAGCAAGGGAGAAAATGGGAGCATATATGAACAAATAGCACAGAGAAACTGGACTTTTAGGCATCAGTTGAACATATGAAAAGCTCATAATCAGAAATACAAATTAAAACCTTGAGTTTTGATTTTTTAGGTGGCTACTACGTTTAAAACATTTTTAATTTAAAAATTTTCTGAATTTAGGGGCACCTGGGTAGCTCAGCTGATTGAGCGTCCGACTTCGGCTCAGGTCATGATCTTGTGGTCAGTGGGTTCGAGCCCTGTGGTGGGCTCTGTGCTGATAGCTCAGAGCCTGGAGCCTGCTTGGGATTCTGTGTCCCCTCCCCTGCTTGTGCTCTGTCTCACTCAATAATAAATAAATATTAAAATTTTTAAAATTTTCCAGATTTAGTTTTAATTGAAATATGTAGTTGACATCCAATATTGCGTTAGTTTCAGGTATGTAACAGTGATTTGACAATTATGTATGATACAGTACACTTAGCACAAATTGTGTAGCTACCATCTGTCACCATAGGGAGTTATTACAGTATTAGTGGCGATAGTCTGTGCTCTGTTTTTCATCCCATGACTTATTTATTTTATAACTGGAAGTTTGTACCTGTTAGTCCCCTTTGCCTATTTCACCCATCCCTCTACCCCCTCCCCTTGGTAACCACCAGTTT